ATTTAAAGATAAGAACGCCAGACTATTTCATTGGAGTCTTATGTCACAAGCATTTAATTGACAGATTGTATATGTTGGGGGTTGTGAAAATGTTATTGAGGATGTGTAATTGGGGTTTTAAAAGGAAAATGTGTATACAAGTTAGAAATGGTAGTTTCAATGTTGTATATATGTAGAATTAGTATGAGATGTGTAATTCTAGATGAATGAGATATGGATCTAGTAATAATGGCATTAAGGTTTACAAAAGAAAAAAAAGGCATCTTTTCATAACAATAGCTCATTTTGTTCTTGGGGGCGAGGTGTTGTGAAGTTGGGTAGATTACTTATGGATTGGAAGGCAGGACGTTAGAATTTGTTTGTACAATGATGGGCGTTGGGGAGTACATGGTCCCTTTAAAAGATGATGTGCTTTTTCTAGGCTTGGAGGTTAAAAAAAAGTCTGTAAGCAGCAACAGGCACAAAGAGTTCCTGAAATTGAAACATTTGTATCAAAGGCTGTATGGTTAGCAACCCAGGCAGTAGTCATGTTTTGTCATGAAGGCAACCAATTTGAATCAGCCAATTAATTTAAATCAGGCATTTAGAGACTAAAAACCAATTAAATTTAGAACATAGAACATAGAACAGTACAGCACAGTACAGGCCCTTTGTCCCACGATGTTGTGCCGAACTTTTACCCGAAACCTAAGGTATATCTAACCTCCACTGCTACCTTATACTATCATCCATATGCCTATCTAATAGCAGCTTAAATGCCCCTAATGAGGCCGACTCCACTACCCTCTCCAGCAATGCATTCCACACCCCTACCACTCTCTGAGTAAAGAACCTACCTCTGACGTCTCCCCGATATCTACCTCCTTTCACTTTAAAACTATGTCCCCTCGTAAAAGCTACCTCCACCCTAGGAAAAAGTCTCTGGCTGTCTACTCTATCTATACCTCTGATCATTTTGTACACCTCTATCAAGTCACCTATCATCCTTCGTCGTTCTAAAGAGAAATGCCCTAGCTCTCTCAACCTTTCCTCATAAGACCTTCCCTCCATTCCAGGCAACATCCTGGTAAATCTCCTCTGCACCTTTTCCAACGCTTCCATATCTTTCCTGTAATGAGGTGACCAGAACTGGACACAATACTCCAGATGTGGCCGAACCAGGCTTTTGTATAGCTGGAGCATAACTTCACGGCTCTTGAACTCAATCCCTCTATTAATGAAAGCTAACACACCATACGCCTTCTTAACAACTCTATCCACCTGGGTGGCAGCTTTCAGGGAACTGTGAACATGAACCCCAAGATCCCTCTGCTCCTCCACACTGCGAAGAATCTTTCCGTTAACCCTGTATTCTGCTTTCAAGTTTGTCCTTCCAAAATGAATCACCTTAAACTTTTCAGGGTTAAACTCCATCTGCCACTTCTCAGCCCAGCTCTGCATTCTATCAATGTCCCTTTGTAACCTAGAACAACCCTCCGTACTGTCCACAACGTGACCTACCGTCATATCATCCGCGAACTTGCTAATCCACCCTTCCACTCCTTCATCCAAATCATTTACAAAAATCACAAATAGAAGAGGACCCAGAACAGATCCTTGTGGTACACCACTCATAACTGAGCACCATGTTGAATAAATTTAAATCTGATGGTTTTGACAACCTACAACCAATCCTATTATAATAAATTGATAGGTCATCAAGGGTACAAAAGAAGACGGTATTTGAAAATTGGTGTGAGAGCAACTGCCATCTGTTAGAGTTAACAAACAGCAGTCCTGAAGAGAAAATCACTGGTTCTCACATAATTTTCTAAGCTCTCAGAGTAACCATCATCTAACTAAAGGTGCAGCAGCATTCTTAGCTAATATTCCTGACATAAGAATTCAACAGAGAAAGGTATTCCTGAGTCAAGATCAGCAGAGAAGGCACAGAACATTCCAGAAGATGTATCCTGGCTGTAATTTTGAGAGACTAAGTTTTAATTTTTTCATTATTCGGTTTATATAAGTGGGACTTATATTTATTGGAACGATATACGATTAGAATTTTGCAGTCGGGAATAGTTAGTAGTTAAGGGAGAAATCTATGGTCTGTTAATGGTTCGTTTAATTTGTGCACTGCTGGAGTTAGATAAATAAGTTGTTACTTGTTGATTATAGAGTGATTGAAAGGAGTTCATTTCATTTAACCACTCCTTTATAACAGTTCGAGGGTGAGAGGCAGGTTATATCACTTTTCATACTTCTTTTAACAGATTATAGGGTAAGATGAGCCTCTCTGGGTGTTTCAGTTTTAGTTATCAGAGGGGGGGTCAACTTCCGCTTTACAACACTTGCAACAATTGACCAGGTTCACAGCTGGGTTTGAAATATGACACCGGCAGCTTTCATAGGAAACCCATTTGGTCCCAAATGACAAACAGTTCTGCTGCTAGTGAGCACAAGATAGTGTGACTACAATGTACAAATAATGAGATGAATAGCATGAAATTGGCAGAAAACTCAGTAGGGCTATGAAGGGAAACCCTCCATGTAAGTCCACAAAATTGACAGTTAGCTGAATTTTTGGTAGAATTCTGTCCATAGTTGTCAGTCACAGTTAACTAAACTTCTACAACTAACTTCATTCTTAGGTAACTAGGCTCTCCAAGGAGCACAAGAACATAAAACATAAGAACTTGGAGCAGGAGTAGGAAGTTCAGATCCTTCTAGCCTGATCTACCATTTGATATGATCATGGCTGATCTCATCTCAGCCTAAACTCCACTTACCTGCCCACTCTCTATAACCCTTCAACTCATCACTAATTAAAAATCTGTATCTCCTCCTTAAATTTACTCAATATCCCAGCAAGTGAATTCCACAGATTCATGACCCTTTAAGAGAAGTAATTTTTACTCACCTCTGTTTTAATTCTGTTACCCTTACCCTAAAACAATCACCCCTTGTTCTAGATTGCCCTACATAAGGAAACATCCTCTCTATGTCTATTTTGTCAACACCCTGTAGCATCTTATTTCCCCAATCAGATTGCCTCTCATTCTTCTACACTCTAAAGAGTATAGGTCTAAGCCGTTCAATCTCTCTTAATAAAACAAACCCTTCATCTCAGGAATTAATGTACTGAACCTCCCCTAAACCACCTCCAATACAACTACATCCTGCCTCAAGTGAGGGGACCAAAATTGTATGCAATACTTTAGGTGCAGTCTCACGAATGCCTTGTACAGTTGCAACACTTCCCACTCTTGTGCTCTACTCCTTTAGCAACAAATGCCCCTATTCACACTTGATAATTCTTGGACCTGCAGCATGGTCTTTAATTCACTACAATTCTTTTGTGGTTTGAATTTTAAAAATGAACAGTATTAAACTTTTAAAAATCATCACCCAAGACCATGAAGCTGGAATTAAGAACCCAATTAACTGCAAACTGAACTAGGAATTATCTCCATAATGTCTTTCGAATGTGCTTTTGAAAACTGTTTTTTAAACCTGCACAAAAAGACAGAAAATCATATCTCCATTGAATTTCTGATGCATTGCAAATTTGGTAAAGTTTATCCCCATATTATAGAACAAACTTTCCACCTATCGCTCACTCCTCCCTCACATACCGTCATCAGCATAAAGATCACACTTTCCTAGCAGCTATCAGTTCTGAAGAAGAATCATTGGACTTGACAGTTAAGTTGGTTTTCTCTCCTTAGATGCTGCCAGACCTGCTGAGTTTCTCCAGCAATTTCTGTTTCCTGAGATTTGATGCTCTACACCACTGATACTTCAGCCGCTTGACAGAAATATGTCAGGATTGGTTGTGCATGTCCCAGAGGCCATAATGCAGATCAAGGACACATGCGCAACCATTCCCAACACCTTTCCAGATGGTATTAGGAGATATAGTGTTGCTTCACACAAATTGAAAGCTGCATCCCTTACTTTACAATAATAATTGCATTGGGGAAAATCTAGATTTTAGACTGTAAGTGATAAATGATACCACCATACTAGAGGCAAGTGTCAGTAGGATCTCTGGAGGCACCAATATTTACAGTATTTTTGAAAACACTCTAAGAAGGCTTTGGGAGGAGACAGTGTAAAACAGACATTGATAATGAAAAGACAGCAACGTCTAGGATGAGAGTGTTTGTTTACTCCCTGATTGGTTGAAGAAGACCTTAACACATTAACCTATGGCACAGAAGGGACATTTATTTTATTTTCTGTGTATCAAGAAAGATTGGAATGTGGATAAGAGGATGCTAACAGTATAATCAAAATTTCTCTATGCTTCAGTCTAATAAGTGAGGCAGATCTCTCTTTGTGTGCTCAAATAAAATGACTATAATAACTAAAGTCTCTAGCAGTTGATTACTGAAAAATTCAAGACAACTTCTGCACTTCAAAAATATTTCATGGCTGTAAAATGCATCAAGATGCCCGATGGCCATGAAAAATATGATATAAATGCAAGTTCTTCCTCTTTTTCAAAAGCATACCTTACAACCAGAAACCAAATGAGGTATATTCTCCATACTAAACATGAAAAAATGGCTTTATTTGCCCTCTAAATGGCCATCATTCTGGAACAGAATTGATTGCTGTTGCTACCATATGACATAAAGAACCATTTTTAGATTTTGTGCCCTTGAACTGAAAAGGTCAGTTTAGTACATGTTCAGGAGATTTATTTTATTGTTTTGAGGCCTCAGCCTTTAAAAGACATAAAGGTGTCCGGTTCTCATTGCTGGAAAGAAAAAAGGGCATTAGTGTTGCAGTTTCATGTCACACGGGTAGTATTGCTTACAGATCATGCAATATTACTATCAGCAAGTGAAAAAACGTAAACAATTTTAAGCCCCATTATATTTCAAGAAGAATCACACAAATTATTATATTCAGCACTGACAAATATCAGTTAAGTTTCAGTAATAGAGTAAAATGCCTTTTGTACTTGACAGAATATGTTTTGAAGGCATTTTCAAAAAAGACAGCAATACCTTGGTTGGCCATAGGTAGTGAGAGCAACTTGATAAGTTTCTGCTGCTGTTCCATCAATTGTTGGAGCTGCTCCATCTGATGTCTCATTAACTGACCCTGCTATTGGTTCTGTACCTGGTGATGTTACAGAGAACACCTTGTTAGGGAACATTTTACAATTTTTTTGTAATAATTGTAAGTTGGTATAAAAAAAAATGAGTAGGTTATGTTAAACTTGCATAGAACACTCATTCAGCCTCAAGTGGAGTATTATATCCATTTCTGGGTGCCACATTTTAGGAAATGTGTAATGGCCTTAGAGAAAGTGCAGAAGGGATTTATGAGGATTATTCCAGGTATGAGGAACTTCAGTTACATAGACAGAAGTGTGGAATATTGCATTGGAGAAAAGAAGGTTGAAAGGAGGTTTGTTAGAGGTATCAAAAATCATGAGTGGCATAGAGACAGTCAATAGGGAGAAAACTTTTATACATTGATGAAAGTACTGAAAACAGGGGGACCTGGTATTAAGACAAAAGAAACAATGGAGACAGGAAGAAAATGTTTTACACAGCAAGTGGTTGAGTTCTAAACTCCACTGAGTGCACAATGGAGACAGGTTCAAACGGAGCATTCAAAAAGGATACTGAATCAACTGAAAAGAGAAACAAATGTGCAGGGCTATGGAGGGAAGCCAGGGGAATGGCAGCGATTGTAGAATTACTACAGTGCAGAAAGAGGCTATTTAGCCCATCAAGTTTGCACAGAACCCCAAAGAGCATCTTACCCTGACCCAGCCCACCAATGTATCCTCGTATCCCTACGTTTACAACCTTGGACACTTTGAGGCAATTTATCATGGCCAATCCACCTAAACTGCAAATTTTTGGACCATGGGAGGACACATGGAGAACGTGCAAGCTCCATGAAGACAGTCACCCAAGGCTGGAATTGAATCCGAGTTCCTGGTGCTGTGAGGTAGCAGTGCTAACTACTGGGCATTAGGTACATTTCTTCTTCAGAAAACCAGCACAGAGGTGACAGGCTGAATGACATCCTTCGGTGCCAAAACAACTGTGATTTTGTGATATGTGCTAAAATTTTAAAGTTTTTTTTGCAGAACTGAGTTGCATGCAAATCTCTCCCTCAATAATTCAGAGCAGGATGCTGGAAAAATACCTGTGGAGTTCCAGATCCTCAAATTTGCTTTGAAAACTACAGCTTTTCTAAACAGCCTGCTATTTTTGTCAACTAAACCACAAAGCCCAGAGAAAACAGAATTTTTGTTAGAAATTTATGCAAGTCCACCTTGACATTCTTTTGGGACTTGTTGATGCCAATGAACTACCAGCATCTGGAAAACACAGAAGTCTACATAACAAGCAGCGGAGTAAGCAGATTTAAACAAACAAGAATGTCAAAGCTCCCTGTGTTAGGTAGGTAAACAAATCTAACAAGATTCTATTTGAAGGCACTGACGATTTTAATGTATCAATATACTGAAAGGTAATAATATAAAAATGATTCAGGAACAATTAACTTATTTGAGTCTGTCCTGCAATTCAATGAAATCATGACATAGTTCCATGAACTCACCTTTGCCCCATCTCTCTACTATCTTAGGTTAATAAAAATCTATTAATCACAGATTTAAAATTAACAGTTAAGCTAGCATCAGTTGGCATTTTCAAAAGAGACCTAAGCTTCCACTGTGTGTACAAATTGTTCCTAATTTCACTCCTGAAAAGGTTTGTCTCTTAGTTTCTTTGATGATGCTACCTAATGCCAGATTCCCCAAACGGTAGAAATAATTTATGCTAATCTGTTCACCTCTATATCTTGAAAACATCAATAAAAATATCTCTGAATCTTTACATTGCAGGAAATACAACTTTAGTTTGTTTTTTACAAGCTCTCAATGTAATGTAATCATTGAAGTCCAGTTATTATTCTAGTAAATCTATGCTGAACCCCACTGAAGACAAAAAAAGGACTTTGGATGCTGGTAATCAGAAATAAGAACAGAAAATGCCAGAAAAACTCAGCAGGTCTGGCAGCATCTGTGGAAAGAAATCAGAGTTAATGTTTCAGAGCCAATGATCCTTCTTCAGAACTGTCCCACCGAGATGATATAGCTAACATAAAGCCATAGTGCCCAGAACTGCTCACACTCAGTCACTTGGAAAGATGAGTAAAAGACAAATTGCACTCAACAACTCTAATTGATTTTCTTTTGATGAACAGAGAAGATTGATAAAGCAAAAGGCTACTGTTTAAAACAAAAAGATTTTAAGAAAGAATTGGAAATAGGACCAAACAAAAACTTTCTTAAACAAAATTGAGTGTTGTGGATTGAGGGTTAGTGTTTGCAAGAGTAATTCATTGAACAACAGAACAAAACAGCAAGTGGTAGTATATAATTGTTTTTCATTCCAGAGAATGGTAGACAATGTTGTTAGTAAAGCATATGCGATCTTGAGCTTCATATATACAGGTATGGAATACAAACATCAGGGGAGTTATGCTGAACTTTCATAAAATTTTGGATAAGCTGTAACTGAAGTATTATGTCCAGTTCTGGTCACCACACTTTAGGGAGAACATGAGGGTCCATAAGTCGGTGCAAAGGAGGTAAACCAAAATGGTTCCAGATTTGGGGATATTTAATTTCAAGGCTAGCCCCGAGAAGCTGTTTTCTCTAAAGGAAAGGAGATTGAAGGGATATTTAATTGAGGTGCACAAGGTTATGATAGGTTTGGATAAGGTAAAGAAAGAAAAGCTGTTTCCATTTTATACTTCTGTGATTAGCTGATGGTACTAAAATTAAGGGTCATAGATTTAAGCTTGTGAGAAAGTAATACAGAGAGGAGTTGAGGAAGAAGATTTTAGGACAGACAGTGTAATAACTTAAAATTTGTTGATTAGGATAGTGATGCCAGCAGAGATGATCAAAGATTGCAAAAGGAATTGGACAGGCACTTGAAGGAAATATTCTTGCAGAGTCACAGGGCAAGAATGGGGAATTAGGACTGACAGCATTGCTCTACAGAAGTCCAGGACACAATCATTGTACACAAAAATCTATGATTTTCTGATTCTGTAATATGATGCAGAGGTAACGCACCCTGACAACATTCCAGTAATAGGTCTGTAGAGTTATGCTCCAGATGTATCTGTGCCCCGCGCCAAGCAGTTGTACATCCACAACACTGAAATTTATACTGGAAAAGTGCAAAATTGCCCATTATGTCCTAAACACACAAAAGACAAATCCAACCCAGACATTTACCATCTCAATCTATTCTTGATCATCAGCAAAGTGGAAGACGATCTTGTGAACAGTGCTATTAAGCAGCACTTACTCAGCGATAATCTGCTCATTTTTGGGTTTTGCCAGGACTACTAAGCTCCAAACATTGACAAAAGAGCTGAATGCAAGAGCAGCATCTGACAGGAGCCCTAAAAAACTGAAGTCAATGTGAATCTGGGGAGAAATGCTCCACTAGTTGATGTCATTCAGAACACAAAAGGAAGACATTGTAATTGTTGGAAGCTAATCATCCTAGCTGTAGAGGTTCATCAGTATAGTACCCTAGGCCCAAGCATCTTCCATTGCTTAATCAATGACCTTCTATCAAAAAAGGTCAGAAGTGGGGATTTTCATTGATGATTAGTGTTCCCTCAAAGCCGCTTGGCCATTTCAAGGTTCCATGCTGACTGACATGCTGAGACATTGACTTCCGGTTTCAGAAGTCACTGCTACACAGAGACCTTGAGGTCCACATCATTAAAAAAAATAGAGAGGGCATTGCTGATGATTGTCCCATGTTCACCGCTATTCACAACTAAGGTTCTTGACTCTCAGATACTAAATTCACAACTCTCAGATACTAAAACAGCCTATGTCATTTGCAGCAAGATCCAGACAACATCAAGGCTTGGGCTGATAAATGGCAAGTAACATTCATGCCACACAAGTGCCAGGCAATACACATCTGCAACAAGAGAAAATCTAACCTTTGCCCCTTGACATTCAAGGTAATACCAATGCTAAATCCCCAATATCAACATCCTAGGAATATAATTGGCCAAAATCTGAACTGCAGCAGCCACGTGAACACTGTAGCTATAAAGCAGGTTACAGGCTGGGAAATATGTGTGAGTAATTCACCTCCTGTCTCACCAAAGTAAGTCCAGCATCTACAAGGCACAAGTCAGCGGTGTGGAACACTCTCCACATGTCTGGTTGAGAGCAGCTTCAACAGACTCAAGAAGCTTGACACAACATCCAGGACAAAGCAGCCCACTTTATTGGCACCCCGTCCGTTGCCTTCACCAATCACTCCCTCCACCAGCGATGCAGTAGCAACAATGTATACCATCTACAAAATGCACTGCTGAAACTCATCAAGGGTCCTTTGACAGAATTTTTCAAATACACAACTTCTAATACCTTGAAAAACAAAGGGAGCAGATTCCAGTTGTGGTATACTGCATCCGCTGTACCCGGTGTGGCTTCCTCTACATCGGGGAAACCAAGCGGAGGCTCTGGGACCGCTTTGCAGAACACCTACGCTCGGTTCGCAATAAACAACTGCACCTCCTAGTCGCGAACCATTTCAACTCCCCCTCCCATTCCTCAGACGACATGTCCATCCTGGGCCTCCTGCAGTGCCACAACGATGCCACCCGAAGGTTGCAGGAACAGCAACTCATATTTCGCTTGGGAACCCTGCAGCCCAATGGTATCAATGTGGAGTTCACAAGCTTCAAAATCTCCCCTCCCCCTACCGCATCCCAAAACCAGTCCAGCTCGTCCCCGCCTCCCTAACCTGTTCTTCCTCCCACCTATCCCCTCCTCCCACCTCAAGCCACACCCCCATCTCCTACCTACTAACCTCATCCCGCCCCCTTGACCTGTCCGTCCTCCCTGGACTGACCTATCCCCTCCCTAACTCCCCACCTACACTCACCTTTACTGGCTCCATCCCCGCCTCTTCGACCTGTTTGTTTCCTCTCCACCTATCCTCTCCTCTATCCATCTTCTATCCGCCTCCCACCCTCTCCCTATTTATTTCAGAACCCCTTTCCCCTCCCCCTTTTCTGATGAAGGGTCTAGGCCCGAAACGTCAGCC